TGGCATACAAGGGGGAAAATTGTGATATGAATATAGACACCAAGCCTAAAATTTATTTTTATGCATTATGAACTCACCCAATCAAACCCATTCTCTTCAATCTTCTTCAGATATTATCGAATGTCCTCTGAAAGCATATATTCCTTCAGACAACGACTGGATTCCAAACGTGTTACCTAGAGATTTAGCTGAAAAATTATTTATTTGCATGAAGCACCGTATGCATGGTTTGCTGGTCAATTGACCGCATACGTTTTGCGTCCGAACTTGCATCTTTCTCAGCTAATCAACCAAAGTTTGAGTGGATTTAGGCGGAGTGATCATCCAGTGGTTGGTGTGCACATAAGACGCACAGACAAGGTGAGTGTTCTAATAAATCATCAACTGCATTTGAGTATAACATGGTGATGTGATTAAACGGACTGGCTGAACACTAAGTGTCAAAATTAATGTTGCATCACACCGCTGAAATGCCAAACTGGGGGCAAACGACGTAGGAATAGAAGTCATCATGTGTCGGGAAACTCCCAGAGAAATGAATGAAATCCAGAAATATTCGCAGACTTCTTCGAAGGCAAAAGACAATTCTACGACACACTGGCTTGCACCTGAAGCAGAACAGGAAGGCTTCAGGCAAACGAGACAAACAAACGGAACATTGAATCAGATAACCAGGTTGTTATGCGAGAAGAGATCAACCCAGATGAAACCAATCAAAGGTGATGTAGCAAAGGAAACCAGTCAGTGACAGGACTGTCAGTGGACACCATTTAGTCGACAAAAGTAGAAGTCTTCAATACCAATACGTCAATGAAAACTAGGAAGGCAGAAGTTTCAGTCAAATAGATTTCCTGCAAAAGCACTGTAAGCAGATCTCAACATCTCAGTGGATATCCTTGCACAACTACTACAGGAAGTGTGGGAGGAAAAAGTCTACCTACTGATTGGAAGAAAGACTACGTCATCAAACTACCAGAAAACTGCAACCTAGGACTTTTCAAACACTGGCGTGGAAACATGCTTCTATCTGCACCAAGCAAATTATTAGCTTGTCTCGTGCTGAAGGGACTAAACGACGTTGTGGATGCGAAATTCCGCCGTCAACAACATGGATTCAATTAAAACAAAGTCTCTGCAGATCACATCGCAACACTACGGTCCAACACCACAGAATGCCCCGAACCTTCATCAACCTCATTTAATACCTGCATCACTATGTCACTTGTCAGGTGGTTCACAGCGGAAAGCTCAAGGGGGACATTGGACAGAGCAAGATAAGGTCACCTACTATCACCGATAATATTACCGGTTGTGGGCACTGGATCATGCAACAGACTGTAGAGAGAAGTCAGGAATTAGTTGGGCCGACAAGAAGACCAGAGGATTTGGACTTCGCGGATGACATTTTTAGTCTCATATAAACTCAAAGATTTACAGGCAAAATCCTACCAGTTGGCAGTGTAGTCAGTGAAGACTATACTTTAAGTGAACTTGAAGGGGGAGAGATGATAAAGATAGAGTTTATTGATGTTATTTTAAGTTTTTCTTAATCCCTGTTTACTCTAACATATTTTCATACCCGAACTTCGTATTTACTTTCAAATTTAATCCCTGATTGCATAAACAATTATTCATTACATTAGTTTTATCCAAACATCCTGTCTATTTTGTTATTTCTACATTTCTAACCCCTAATTGCACAATGTCAATCTTCTTAGTTATTATGATGCTACTTTGTTTATTTTATCCATTCCCCTGTTTATTATGGCATTCTAATTCCCAATTTTAATTTTTATTAATTTCACCCTTAACGTGAAATTATTCTGGAACTTTCCCATCGATTTGATATAAATACACGAATGTACAGCCTAGATGGTGACTTCATCGAAAAAAAATTTTCTTCACTGCAATTGTCTTCTCAATAACTCCTATGACACAATGTGTATATTGCGTGATCAAGAAATATGCAGAAGGAAATGAAGACAGCGCTGGGTGGCATCTCGACCCAGCACACTGAGTGAGCAGCGAATAGGGAACGACAAGTTGGGCGTCTGAGTGTGACATGTAGGAGATTGTGTGAGAAGGAGATAAGAGTCTGTGGGCGATCTCTGAGCTAAATACAGAATACTAAGGAGAATAGAATGCAGTGTAAATGAGCTGTTGAAGCCCTATGTCCCACCTGGAACACAAGCGAATAAAGAAAATAACAGAAACAAATATATATTCACGGACGTCATTCAACTAACTAACCAACTCATGACACAGGAGGTGGATCGAATCCCCCGTGCATTATTTCTAATCTCAACTAGGAACTACTACATGATATGTGACGAATTTCAGCGTAGAAATGAAACTGAGTGAGTGAGCTGCAGGCATTGGTGGGGACGTCATAAGTTGTGTATCTTTTACACAACGATGAAGAATACTAAGCATAATTTCGAAAGTTAGGAACGGAAAGGTGATGAAGAGAAGACTTGCAGCAGCACGTGTTGGTAGAATTGTTCACTTAGCAAAATCATGTGTATTAATGACATCTATACATAAGGCCTGCATTGATATCTGAATGTTTCTGTTCACTTCACAACATTATTCATCTGATTGTGTTGAAGAGAAACAAGCGAAAATCTAGCAACTTTGGCTCAGGAATATCCACCAATGATTTGCTATGTACTAGTTTTCCCCGTCGCGAAATTATTGTTATGTACTGGTCGAGAATTTAATAGTCCTGACGCAAGAAAGACGGAAATCAAAAGACCACTAGGTTTGCAATGATACTTCTATTTTCCAAAACACAAGGAGAATCAAAATGTCACACAAGAGTGTGTGAGAGCAAAAATATAAGAATGTCCGAACAAGTGTGTGAACACAAGTGTGTGAGCGAATATTCAAAATGAACAAATCAATAGACAGTCTTAACATGATTGCCTAGTTGTAATGGAATATCGATCCACATATACATCGCAAATATACAGACTGTCAAAAAACACATATTATATGGATACATATCACCAAGGACAGACTGACAAACAAAACACACATATTATATAGATATATATCAGTTTTAACCGATTAGACTGAGAGAAAGAAAGAAATGAAGAATCAGGAAGGCTTTTGATGTATAATAATGCTTGCATTTTGTTGTCTTAAATAACCAAGCTAAATTATTTAATTTACATTTCCAGCTAATTTGGGAAGCTCAATCACATGATTTGGAAGAGTACATGAAGCATGTGGACGATTATTTCAATTCATTTGAGAATACTACACCTCTTTTGAAGCCCGAAATATATGTAAGTAGTATTTTGTACCATATAGTAATGAATGAATAGTGTCGATCGCAAGCCCAGTTTCCACACGAGTAGCTTGAATCAGTGTTTTAACTCGTCATGGATTACTCGATCTTCATATTTTGAGGAAATCCTGAGATTATTGTTTGCATTTTACGTGAGTTACTATGAGAACACATTTTTAAGACTCCATCATTGGTGACAACAGATTTCCCAGCTTCCTAAAATGAAAACCAGAACTTCACTGGGAATAAAGACAGCAAACACTCCTGCATACTATTCAAATCAGTTTACTTAGCATGCTGTAGCTTTCACACTTAGGATTTTGCCGATGCTTTAGGCACAAACAGATTTAAGCTACCTACATGTGTCGACAAACAGCTCACCATCACAATAAACCATACTTAATGATTTTCACTAAGGAGACATAAGGAGTATACAAGTATGAGAGGAGGAAAGTCACAATGAGACACAAAGTTACATCACAACACATCTGAAACACCAATCAGAAGATTGTACAACTGTGTTAACTATGTCATTGCACAATGTTCATTGTGCGGAATACTCGAAATAATGCTGTAAGCAAAGTGTTGATATTGAGGGTATTAGCAATGAATGCTAAAACGAGACAGAAGAAAAGATTGTTCAGAGCAATCATAGAAAATCGGCAGACCACTTATTGTATGACAAATTTGTTTAATTTCAATGGAAGTAATCCGGTGTGAACTAAATGTGGTTTCAGTGATAATTATTTCTGAATGATACTGCTCACATATCAACTTTAGGTGATGTGGTCCATTCATATTCTCGAAATATGTTTTCATATGTTTTGTGACCAGGTGATATGAACGAGTGAATTGACACGCATCTCCATGACACCCAACAATACCATATAACTGTGCAGCTTTGAAGTGAAGCTACGGAAACAGCGCTGATCTTTGACCGATATCTTTAATTGTGCTTGTACTTTCATTGCAAATATCTTACTAGCGGCTTCTGGAGGTTTGAGGAACTTCAGTCGAGATCGGGGATTAATGTAAGTTAGATAGTGATTGAAAACTAGGGAGCACCGCGAAGCTGCTTTGTCCCAGCTCCACACTCCATCGGCATGCACCCTTGACCGAACCAATTATTGCACCTAGGATTTTCACTTAACACAGCTAGCATGTTGAACATCACCGCTACGCTACCTCAAGCCGATGTCATCGACGAATATCTGCCTTCACATGAAATCAGCTATTTGGTAGATTTCATTGAAAGTGGTTTCGTGTGAACTTATAGTAGGATTATCAGTCTAGGATTGTGGCCATCACCAAATATCGAAAATCAAGTGTGAGAGGTGAGACGATGAGTCATGCATAGTCATGTATAAACGTGTCAAAGTATTCGCATGACGATGCGATTTCATTTGAAAGAAGTATTACCCCATATTATGCTATGATTGGAACTAATTCAACTTTCATGTGTGTCAATCCTGTGTTATGGTAATTGTGCACTACATTTTACACTAGATTGCACTCTTGCTACCAAGTGTAGTTTTGGGATTTTCAAAGATAAGCGCATTTCTTCCAACACTTTTCTTTCAGAATTCGAATGGCTACAACTGGAATAATCACACAAAGGATATTGGACGTTTCACACATAGAAACAGAAGTGTTTATTTGACGACAGATGAACCTTCTCTCTTCAACCAGTTCAACACGAACTATCCAGACTATATTCTATATGGCAGTCAAAGAAGGTCGATGTCAGCTGGTGTAGAAAATCGCAGAAGCATGGATTCAATGAGTAATGCATTTACTGACACACTGGCCTTATCAGAAACAGATTTTCTGGTGTGCACATTTTCATCAAATGTGAGTAACCTTGTTATATTTCACTCTATTTATCCTGTGTAATCAGTATGGAAGGGATGCTTTTCACAGCATTAAGGTGAAAGAAATCTCAGACTATGTTAGCTCGCTCCTGATCCACTTGTTGGATAATATCGCACTTGACACGTCAACTGGTGATGTTGACCTGTATTTCACATAAGCCTCGGAATGAATTCTGTCAGACATCTCCACACTAGGGAGATGTTGAGTATTCAGTTCGGTGTGATGTACACTGGTTCTGTAACAGTTGTTATCACTGTTCATTGTTCGAAATTCATAATAGCAATGAAAACCAAAAAGTGGTCAAAAGGAGTAATTGTAGCAGTATCTGCCAACATTGGTTTCAATTGGCACAAGTTACTTCCAAGCGGCTTTATTAGTGTTTTTGTGTTTGTCGAATCACATGAAAACGGATTTTGCTCATCTGATACGATATAATAACTCACTTCGTGTTTCAGATGTGTCGTCTGGCGTATGAATTAATGCAGACCCGTCATGAGAAACTGGGTGATGCATCACAACTGGTTAAATCTCTCGATAATCTGCACCATTCAGAGGATTTCTCGAAAGTCAAATTTGAGGTGCTGATACCAGATTTGAGAGCGGGACTGAACTATGGCGATTTGGTAAATCTATACAAAAATCACTGGAACGGTTCCTCATCCAACATCCTCATGTGGCGTAATGATGGCCGAAGTGGGGATGGGCAACAGAAATTATCGAGTGTCAAGCAAAGGAATTCATTTGATGTACCTGCATATAAATTCAGACCTGAGTTGAAAATAACCAATTTCAGCTGGTTGTAGAAGGGAAAATCACCTTCAGGTGTAACGCCTTACAACTGTAATCTCTGTAATATTTCTACCTTGATTTCTTATATACTGACTTACACAATATGCGTTTCTCTTATCTTTCAAGTGGATTTGTGTATTTGTGCGAGAATGACTGTCATTAAGAAGAGTTTAGTGTCTTCTTGTGTTTGTGTGTATTCATTGTCATGACGAGAAATTCCATATGGTTTGGGAGAAATTGTGATTGAGATGAGTGAACTAGGCATACTTCTATAAGCATTAGTGTATTTCAACATGCAGATATTGCCTTCTTTGATTACTTGTTATCCCTGTACGATGGCATGTTCGAGTAGAACTTGAAATGATGACTTTTACGCAGACGGGTTATTGTTGAGATATTTTAGTCGTATTTGCTTCAGTTATTTATATGCGGATAGATTGGGAGTTCACATCTGCATTCGTGATGCTTTTTCTTACTGAAGTATGAACAGGCATGAAAGCGACTATTGTTGGTCTTCATCCTATAGTGAGATTGGATATTCAATAGTACGGAATAAATATCTGCATATGATAGTGAATAAAAAGTCATGATTCATGAATCATTCGCCATTAGAAGCATTCGTCCAACGATGTGATGTACTCATCTAAATGACACTACTTCGTCCTTTATTTTCATCAGAGAAGTAGTCAAATGTTTTATTATTTATTCAACCACATATTACCAATAAAGTCACCTACTCTGATACACTAAAGCTACATCTTTAAGAAATTCGTCGACTTTTACATTAGGTTATGTCTTGCTCCCCGAGAAATAACAACATCGCAATGTTCAACGCTTGTTTAGTAAACTTTTCTTTTCACTGAATTAGATTACGCTTCACTTTAGTTAATAAGAATGTGTGAACACCGCAAATATTGAAATATAATTAGCTGTGTTGGTAAATTTTATACCTCATTTGAAATTAGTTTGGTCACGCCGATGAGAAGTAAACAAATACTGACTACTTTTTTGAGACAGTAGATTGTCCTTATTCGAAAACCATACACGATTCAACATTGCAAGCTATTTCGTTCCACCTTGGTTTCTGTCGGACTTCTGCTTATTCTAAGCTTCTACCTAACAAGAATCCTTGCATTCTGATATTATTGTTTCTGAAGAACGCATTATTCGAGTTTTTTAACTTCCCGTTGAACCTTGAAATATTTGTTAGTAGTATAGAACCATACGTAGAACAATCCCTCTCCGTGAATTCACGGTACAACTGACACATTCATATGTTATATCCTACAATGTATTATTCGTTTCGCTTTCAGACTTTGAGAAGGCTATCTGAAAGCACCTAACGAAATTTCAGCTGATACTTTGTCTCAATATAATATATGTATGCATATACCAGTCAGTCACATTTTACTCACCGACATTCCTGTGAAAATGAGATTAAATGCATAGTTGGAATCAGGCTTCTCAAATATTAGCCAAACTAATTGAACAGCAATTACTGATATGCTAAAATACCAAGATAGACTGAAGGTATTGCAATGGATAAATGAAAATGTGGGTCAAACATATAATAAATATCCACTTATTCAATAAACTGTAGGCCTCCATTATATACAGGATTGTTTGTGCAAACAGTCGTTAGAGGCGAGACAGGTATTAGCGGTAATCAGTGTGCATACATCTTTAACCCTTGATATAGTATCAAGATGAAAATATAAGTTAGAAAATACAATTTTCGATTGCCTCCTGAGATTTTCACTTGACTGATTTCCAGCATATGTGATCCGTTCTGACTTGCACTATTTGAAGCAGCTGGTTCCCTATTTAATAGTAATAATCATAATAATAAGAATAATATCTTTACTATAGACAATATATTCACCATGGTACGGACTTTTCAGCGTATTTAAATTTCAAAATGTCTATTCTTCTATTTACGGAGCACATTTCAGACTTTCAGATGATCCATCTACGTGTCTATATATATATATATATATATATATATATGGTAGCATCGAGCAAAGTACTGGGATCATTCGAAATGCAGGTCGAAATGTTTAACGGTCACGAACACAGTTAATAGGTAGGAAATTGAGGCAACGAAATGGAGTAAGCGTCAATGATGAAAATATCGTTAAGCGAAATGAACCATGGTTCTAAATGATGTTTAGATGGCTCCCCACAGAATCGTCTGGTTTGTCACTGCACCATCAAAATTAAAGTACACAATGAAATACTCATTTGTCAAACTCCTATGAACAAAAATGTGAACTGTGGACTAACACACAAATCAGCATTATCCTAATACCTTCTTTTGTACACGCTTCTTTGGAGAATGATGCATACATTCCGAACGTGAGAGGATGCTAATCAGTTATTTACGGAGGCTGTGATTGCACTCATTGCTGGCGAGTGTCTGCTTATATTCTGGGAAACAACAGACCAATAAATATCGCAAAGTATCGACACTTATTGTCAGTTGTACTGTACTGAGTGAAAAGTGGTTTCTGTCATTTCATCTATGTCTGTTTGCAATAACATAACAGTGGGACTTTCTCAATCAGTGAACGTTGTTTTGATTTTCTGTTTAACAGTTTGTTTGCCTGCCTACTTATCTGTGAAAACTTGCTCTACAATCTCAGGCTATACAGAACCTGAATGAGTGTCCATCTGTCATGTTTTTGACCTCCTCATATAAATAAAGAAAGGTAAATGGGTTACAGAAAAGCCGATTTTGAGGTGAGACTTAAGGAATCTTCCGCACTCCGTTTTCGTAGAAAGGAGGAAACTCATGGGAAAGGTAAGTGAGATGGAGACACTGAGACTTGATGAAAAGAAGATATATTTGATATGTATCCATATATATATATATATATATATATTTATGTATGTGTGCGTATGTTGGTCTCTCTTTCTGTTTGCTCTCTTAGTCTGTGACCATTTCACTTGTATGAACTTGTCTCCTTTAGCAATGTATATTCTCCTTATATTATATTATATATAATATGAGTGTTTGTTGACAATCCGTTGCTTGGTGACATATATCCATATATGGTGGTTGTTGGCATGTCTGCTATATTTCGCTATGTATATATGGATCGATACTTCATTATAATTAGCCATTCATGTTGAGACTGTCTAATGATTGTTCACACCCTTGTCATATATATATTTCGTTCTCACAATTTGTGTGACTGACTTACACTTACTTCCTACTCTTGGTGTGATACCACTTCTGCATTCTCCTTGTGTTTGGAAATAGAAGTATCATCGCAAACCTAGTGGTCTTCTGATTTCCGCCTTCTTGCGTCAGGGCTATTAAATTGTCGACCAGTCCATAACAATAATTTAGCGACGAGTACATAACAATATTATAAAAAGAAATTTACTCCCTTCTGTTGTTCACAATTCAAGCACGAATCGAAGCTGCATGTTTAAACCAAATAAACAAAAGTCGAGTGGGCAAATACTGTTAAGGCTTCTCCGTAGCTGAAATTGTTAAAAGTGGAAGGAGTCTCGTCAAATGATGCACGCTTACGAAACAAGTCTCCTTCACTGATGACTCTCACCATATATCTCAACCAACCGCTGTGGAAAGTCATCAGTTACTTGACGAATCACTACAACTTAATCATGCCAGTCAAAAGAAGAACATTTCAATGGATAAATGTTGACATATATGAAGCTTGAAATCAACGTCAAATAAATGATTCCCCAGAGAAATGATTCCATAAGCTGTTTTCTACGGGTAACGATGAGTCATCAAATCCTTCTAGAGAGAATCAAAATGTAAGCCATCTCGACACATACTTGTGTTGATTACTCAATTGCTTCTAATTATCTTGCTAATCTGATAAATTCATTTGTTAGAAACATTAACTTACTATGCTTGTTCACAGTTAAATAAATTCAGATTCAAATCTCTTAGTCTCATTATGACAATGGGTAAGTTCGAATGAGTGCAGGAGGAGGATTCGATGCTACCCGTTTTATTTGTGAGGAGTTAACGTGTATTTATATAAGCCTGATAGTAATATCCTTTAAATATTGTCTGTCATACTTTGTTGGACTTGTGGAGTGAAACCATATGATTACACAGCCGAAGTCCTCTATGTGGTATGTTTTTAAGGCTATCTGTCTGCACACTGATTTAATTCCACCTGCACGATCATTATGCCGAAAATTTAACTTCATTAAGTGTGTGGAGGATTTCAACTCTTGCGATCACGGCTTGCTTACGTCTGTTGATCGTGGAAACTTTGTCAAGTTTACTGCTCGTTTGAACTTGGTTTCCATAAATGACTGTAATGCAAATGAATCCCGTAGGAGGTCTCCCTCGCCAAATCCTGACCATTTCATTATTCGTATTTGATTGAAAGTACATGATAAGGTGAGCAACAGAGCTTTACTTCACCTCACACAATGTCTTCTACAAAGGTGTTATCGACATAATAATATTCATATGTTTAGATGGATGTCTCTGGATACATACTAAGAAAAATTCGTTGATGAAATATCGGATGTTACTACCACCTGCTATCTCAAGATCTGACTAGACATTTTCGGACCTACTGAAACACTGTTTATGGGGTTTGATAGGATCTCTTCTTCGCACATAAAAAGGTTTCCTGGAGGAAAACAGCATTTATATAAGTCGGATGATAATGCTGGTGTTAGAAGGTTGAACTGTTTAGTAAAGTCTGCAATGCAATATTTGAATAAATATTCTTATCATAGAAAAATGTTTCCGAAATATGGAAACCTTTTAGTCAACTTAGCAAAACCTGAATTTCTATCTGTGCTTGTTTTGGTGTAGTTGCCTTAAGTCAATCTTTTCTACGACTTCAAGCTACCCATCGCCTCTAGTCATATAAACAGTTATTTTCCAGGTTTCGATCAAAAGGATGTATTCACACTTATCAAATCCCCAAACCCACCGCACAAAGAAAACTCTGATGGTGTGCCAAGTCTTTTGCATTAGAAGTGAGAAAATATTTTGTGTCAATCTTTCACACAAATGTTTGGTGCATAATTTCAAAGAGATACATTGGGACGAAAGAAAGAAGGACACAACTCCGATTTTCTGAGCATTTAGTAAACACACTACGTATCAAGGGAACACACAATTATTTATTTTCCTTCTAGCGACAGTTACTGTAACTGCTCCCGCAGATGCCTTTAAATATGTATGTACATTTATGCACACATTTACAGAGACACAGTAACTGTCGCTAGGAGGAAAATAAATAATTGTATGTTCCCTTGAGACGCAGTATGTTTGCTAAATGTTCAGAAAATTCAAGTTGTGTCCTTCTTTCTTTTTTCCCATTTTGACTGGTCCTGCAGATGCCTGTAAAGTTGTATGCACATTTAGAGTCAACATGAGAAGGGTATCTGTCGACTTTCGATTGCACTGAGGAGTATGTTGCCCAATAAACTGTAACCAACTTAGCTGCATGATAGGCTATGGTTAGTGTTGGATGCAATCTCCTCTTGACTATTCCTGCAATATTTTCACTTTTAAAATCAGGCTGAATGAAGATAGTCTTTCTTCCCATTGTGATTTGTTTGACATATGAGCCCACACATCTTCCATATTTGTCGAT